GGGGGGGTATTTTTTTAAAGGTTTAGTTTGGAGTGATAAGGCGTGTCAGATTTATACCAAAGGTCCTCTTTTGGATTCATTATTTTTATCATTTTTTTATGTTGGTGAATTCCAATAAGTGTATACTTTGTTCCATCCACCATCAAGTTACTTTCGGGTCGTGCACGTCATCAACTTTTGGATGCCTCCGTCATACCCTGCTGTGGACGCGTCTGCTAACGGATAGACTGATCCACGGATGTGTATCTCTTCGGAACCTGAACAAAATGACTTGATAAAGACTTAAAAGAAGACAAAATGACCTGATAAAGACTTAAAAGAAGACAAAATGACCTGATAAAGACTTAAAAGAAGAAAAAATGGCTTGATAAAGACTTAAAACTTTTTGGAGGTGAGGTTACACCACAGACAGATATACATAAGTCGTATCGTGTGTGGTGTAGCGCTTGCCGAAGAAAGAAACACCAAACTGACTGTGTGGATTTCTGCGGAAATACTAGCGCGGATTTGATGTGAAATGTGTCAAGTTTTGCTGGTGTCTTCTTGCTAAAAATCTACGCGAGACGACAATTAAATTCACAGATTGGTGCTTGCTTCCAAAGTCTTGTTGAAGCAGCAGTAGACATTTACTTGAGTCAAGTGTGCCGTAAAAACACCTACTCTATCAATCGATCTATCAAATCAGACTTTTTTTGGTTAAATACCAAACGAACAATTCTTTCTCAACTGTGGAATAATTAATTAATTCACGAAGACTTGATTGGAAAAAAAAAGTTTTGTGAAGCAGAAGGGGGCGAGAATTTTTTATGTGACTATTTTGTTTTTATTCTGGATTTTGAAATGTTATGAAGCAGAAAGCGAGGATTTTTTAATGTGTTTTTTGTATTCTGAATGTGGTCATGGTGTAGCGATAATATAAGGAAGAGGAGGCAGTCGTCATGATTTCCTCCAAATCTCGACGTGGGGTGGGAGGTGGAGGGGCGGCGGGGGATGGGTTCTATTCCGTCCCTCAGGCGTCAGATATCGCCAGAAACCTCGCCACCCCTTCGAGATCTTCGCCAGGAGGAGGAGGGGGAGGAGGAGGAGGAGGAGGAGGAGTTCTTCGTGCTACATCTTCAGCATCTCCCTCTTTCTCCAACTCGCCAAAATCTACTTCATTTTCATCTTCTTCGTCTCCTCCTCCTTCTTCTTCTTCTACTGCTACTGAGGCGATGGTTGCCAGGGACGCTTCCCCGGGCGGTTGTCATGGAGGGCCTCATCACGTGACTAACCCCTACGACGACCTCAGCCTGTATACGTCACAGATCAGCGCCGTGCACCCCCCAGCTGTCCAACAGTCGTCCTCTACCTCCAATCTCTCCTCCAACAAAGGACGCGGCAGCCAAAGCCACTACGCCAGATCGAGTTCTGGTGGCTATTTCGGCTTGAACAGGCCTCAACATCACGCGCATACCTTCGGCCACCACAGCGAGTACAGCAGCAGCAGCCCCACAAGAGCTGCCGATTCACCCGGATACTATGGATTCGAGAAACCGAGAACTCCGGAAGCATCCGGATATTCGGTTCATAGCAAACCGGTTGATGCAGAAGGAATCGGTTACGCTCCACACGCTCATCAAGGTTCGTCTGATCCGGCTGGACATTTTAAATTCCGGCACCCCCTCTACACGCCAACCGGATATTATGGTTTCGAGAAAGAAGGCAGCCGCTCTGCCAACTCTCCCACTTCTAGTGGTGGGTATTACGGATTTAGCAGAACCGGATCCTCCAGCAATGGAACCGGATTGAAGCAGCGCGAAGATTTCGATTATCCGATATACGAAGGCCACAGCTTTGGATCCGATGCTCAACCCCAGCCCAGTGAGAGTAGGTCAGAGAGAGCCTTGTCATCCACTCGCGAAAAATCGTCACCTTCATCATCCGAAGGCGGGAAAAACACACCGAAAATGTCGAAACAGCGAACTCTATCCGAATGGGTGAGGAATCTGACCAATACCGGATCCAAATCCCCTTCGACCGAGTCCCGGTACCGAACCCCTGCCTCTTACAGCGGGGCCGACCGGGAATCGCACAGCGCTCAGCACATGGACGGGCCTCCCCGCGGAGTGGTCACCCCTATGTACATGTCACAGCCAGGCGTCTGGTCAAGGGAGCGGCCTCTGTGCATTGACCAGCGCAAAACCGGGGCCGCACCGGATCCGGAAGTTTCGAGTAAGAGCCCGGATCACAGCCCGAACCGGTACCGAATCCTGGAGGACCCGAATCGAGGTGGGGGAGGTCCGAGTCGAAATGAAGTCCCTCTGTTTCAATTTGAGTCCTCTAGAGGAAGTGTTGGGAGAAGAGATTATGGTGGGTATAATCTAGGAGGAGGAGGAGACAGAGGAGGAGGTGGAGGGGGAGGGGAAAGAGAAAGAGGAGGAGAAAGAGAAAGAGGAGAAAGAGAAAGAGAAAGAGGAGGAGGAGGAGGGAGCCCGCAAAGCCCCAGCTACTCCCATCTCAACTACCACCAGCAACTGCGCAAAGAACTGGGAATGCCGCGCGCCTCGTTCTCACCCCAACCACATCTCCAACTGCAGCAGCTGCAACAACAACAACAACTACCCCAACAACAGCAACAACATTCTTCCTCTCTCCCTCACCAATATAGCCGTTACCCCCTCAACAACATAATCACCCCCTTACCCTCATCCAGTGACAGCAGTCTACACATGTCCTCCACCTCCCAGAACTACTCTGACAAATTCGGAGGCGACCATTACCCCCTCCTCCCCTCCTCCTCCCCTCTCGCTGACGACAGGAGCGGTTCCCGAACCTTCCACGAAGCCTTCCAGGGCCTCCACGGCCACTACTCCACCCCTCACCTGCCCTCGGCAGTGGGCTCGTCTTACGAGCAGCCTCTCTCGGGTTCGGATCCCAACTTGCAGAGCGAGTCCAAACAAGCGGGGATGTTCCCTTACTACGACAACGTGACGGGCCTCAAGAACCAGCGCGGGAAATCGTCCACCCACTACCCTTACGACCTGGAGACGCGCGCGTTCCTCCAGCAGTTCTGTGGGGCCACGCCCACCACCCAGGGCCACGCCCACGCCTTCCATCTCGCGGAGACGACGGGACCGAGCTCCGCCTCCTCCCTGCCCAGCGTCTCCACCCACGGCCTAAGCTCCGCCCACTCTCCGAGAAGCTCCGCCCACTCGCCAAGAAGCTCCGCCCACTCTCCGAGAAGTTCCGCCCACCACCCCCTCCACCACCATCACCAGCACCACCACCGCTCTCTATCACCCCAGTCTCACCACCACCGCTCTCTATCACCCCAGTCTCACCACTACAGCTCGACGACGCCAGACTCCACAGACCACGCCTACTACTCGTCAACCAACCTCAAAGGCTTGTGCACTATACCCAGAAATACGTCGTCCTCATTTTTGTCATCATCACCATGTACATCTACAACCATGCCCTCATCACCACCATCATCATCAGCGATGATGATACACCCTGGCCAAAATTTCATCTACAGCCTTCAGAAAAGAGAACCCAGCTACGAGGATATAGAAAACATCACGCCCTACAGACAGGAAAAATCTGGGCGACAGCAGCAACAACAGCAACAGCAACATCATCATCAGCAGCAGCAGCAACAGCAACAACAACAGCAACGACAGTACACAGCCAACAACAACCACCCAGGGTACAACGACAACGGTGGCGGTGCACGTGCAGATAAAATGAACCCCGAACTCACGACAGCTGGCACCTCCACCACCCCCACCGCCGCCAACTACTACTACTACTCACCATCATCACCGCAGCAGAAAACACACCTGAATGCACGTGCTCAGAACACAACAACAACGACAACAACGCACGCGACGACAACAGCAGCAGCAGTTGGTGGTGAGGAGGAGGAAGACAGTCGTAGCGGGAAATCTGCTTTTTCCCGGCCCGCCCCGAAGCCCAAGAAAAAGGGCTTGTTCGGATCGGTGCTGGAAAAGGCGCATCTTTTCGAGTCTTCGGCCGAGTCTCTCGCGAGGAAAGAAAAGGCGAAACAACAGAAAGCCGAGAAGAAAGCGGCCAATCTGAGCGCATCTGCCTCAGGGAGCAAGAGCTTGGTTCAAGATTATAGTAGTAATAGTGCTAACAGTGCAATAAATAACGCAAACAGTGCAATATATAACCCAAACAGTGCTATAAATAACACAAACAGTGCTATAAATAACACAAACAGTGCTATAAATAGTACAAATAGTTTTGCTTACAAAGGTGGTCAACCAATTTTGGACAGTCACCCGGTTTATTACGGAAGTCGATCGTTGTCTCCACTAGACGCGATCGTCACCGAAGGACACATCTCCACATCTATGCCCCACCACCATCTCACTTACTCAACACCTTCGTCAGCCGGTTCCAGTTCGAAACCCTACCGAATTCCTCACCGGGATGAGTCTGGGAGTGGCTTTAGCTCCTCACTTCCTTTCCGTGAGGGTCAGATGAGTTCAACTGGAAGTGACGTAGTGAGTAGGGCTAGCAGTGACGTGTACTCACGTGGTGGTCATGTTGTTGGTAGTGGAAGTGGGTCAGAGGGTCTGAGTGTGCCAGCCGTGACCCTGTCCAGAGGTGTGACGTCACCTCGAAATGACGTCACATCCGGTGGAGCAGCATCATCAGCAGCAGCATCAGCAGCAAAAGCAGTACCAGAAGAAGCAGGAGTAGTAGTAGCAGGTGGTGGTGGTAGTGGTGGTGGTGATATGACTTCGCATCACCACCGCTTCGAGGTCGCTACTTCGGGGGATGGTCAGCTTACGTCATCGCTGCGTCGTGACGTAACGGGTGTCGTTAGTAGTGTCGGTGTCGGTGGCGTTGGAGGGAGTGGCGGTGGTGTCGGTGTCGGTGATGTTGGGGGAAGTAGCGGTGTCGGTGGTGTCGGTGTCGGAGGGAGTGGTGTCGTGACGTCACCGCGCGCCCAGCAGACGACCAGCATGCACGAGAGCGGAAGCGTGGACATGGAGGCAATGAGTGAGTTCATCAAGAGTTCTGGAACCTTCCCCTACCACGTGTTCTCCCGGAGGAAGAAGCCGATGCCTGGTGAGTTGGCCTATTTGTGTGTGTGTGTGTGTGTGTGTGTGTGTGTGTGT